CTCTCCGCCTCCTGCTCGCCGAGCGGCGCGGCGGCCACGTCGTCTTCCACCGTCACATCGGCGGACCCGGCCGGCAGAGCGGCGGCTGCCGCCCCCAGCCCGAAAGCGGCCTCCTCCACCAGCGCCGCATCGCCACGCGGAGCTTCCTCAGCGCCCGCCGCCGTTCCCAACAAGAAGAGAACCGTGAGGGCGGCCAGAGCGCTGCGGCACCGCGGGCCCCGCATGGAGGGGCCCCGCCTCGAGGCAGCCGTTAGGGCATGAACGCTGCCGACGCCGCAAACGCCGCTGCGGAATGGGCGCCCGGCGCCCCGCCCGCCCGCCACGTACCGGCACTGCCGCCGCCGCCGCCCGGCCCCTCACGGCGAGGAGCGAGCCCATTGGTCAGCCAGCACGTCACTCCGCTCGCGGCTTCTCTCTCATTGGCGCAGTCGAGGGAGAGGGTGGGAGGAAGAGGTGTTTGTCAACAGAGCCGCCGGGCCAATCGGATTCACGCCGCTCTCTCCCCTCCCTGCCAACGCGCGGCCAATCGAAAGTGCATGATTCACCGAGCTGCTCGCGGATTGGTGGAGGCGGCGCGCCACATGTGTTGCTGACTGGAGAGCAAGGCTGCGCGGCCCCGCCTCTTCCCGGCCGGCCTCCGCCGGGCTGGAGACGTGGCTCTTTTACCGTGTCGGCTGGGCGGGGACAGCGGCGCGCGCAGGTCGGCGCGTGGGGCGGGGAGGGGCGACTGGTCGGGCGGGAAGGGGGGCGCTGTGCACGCGCTCTGTGTGAGGGGAGAAGGGCTGCGCGAGGTGCCGGTACAGCCGGCGTTTAATAGTGCTGAACTGATGTTGTGTTACAGTTCTTGGTTAACGTACCGTGCTGTTCTAAGCAAAAAAAAAAATATATAAAAAAAAAAGTATATATATATATATATATGAAAAGTGTTGTTCATTGCTTTATAACTGAGTCACACGCGCCATTTCTTGGTGCCTGGCCAGCAGGAGTTATTACCTCCACACTGGCTGCCCTTCATAAAGGCGCGTGCCGTCCTGGCACTCCTGATGCTTTCTAGAATCTCCCCTGGTCTTTCTAGGCTTCCTGAGGAGTAACACGAAGGTTCTTTCCCACCTTCTGGGCTGCAGTCATCCCTAGAAGATGGGGGAGCTTCATTGGTTACCAGTGGACTGAAATTCACCACACTACTGTTAAGTAATTCACCCATATATCCTCCCTCACCAACACAGACCATAAATGTTCATAAATGCATCATTACCAATGTTTTAATCATGTTCATCTAGTAATGGGCCTGGAGGAGAGCTTTCTGGGGTTTCTGCTGTGCTCAGCCTTGCCAGCTATAGATTTCTATTGATGTGCTTCGCTTCCAATAACTGCTGTGCTTCCCATCACTTCTCATTTACAGCAACACTTCTCATTTCCTCCATTTTGGCTATTTATCTTCAGCCTGCTAAGAAAATGGGAACGGCCAAAGCGTTTGCAGGACATATCCATACTTCATTAAGCCAGAACTTCCACCTTTGTGCTGGTTCTTCAAGGTTTATTATGCTTAAGGCAGCAACAGCCTTGTGCAAATGTCCCTACCACACCCACGTGTATTACACGCAATCACACAGTCTGGCCCAGGTTGGAAGGGACCTCAAGGATCATGAAGCTCCAACCCCCTGCCACACGAAGGGCCATCAACCTCCACATTTCATACCAGACCAGGTTGCCCAGAGCCCCATCCAACCCAGCCTTGAACACCGCCAGGGATGGAGCATCCACAGCCCCTCTGGGCAGCCTGTTCCAGCACCTTACTGATCCTCACCTTATGAACTCATTGCCTTGTATTTCTTCCCACCCCCTATCCCAGATCAGCAGTCTCCCCATCGCTGTCTTTTGTTTTTGGGAGCTCCAACAGTTTACAAGTGAGTCTTTTCTCCACATTCCCCTTTGCCACTGCAGCATAAGGAATAGCAATCATAATCTAAAAGCTATTATTTTCCTGGCTTGGAAATGTACTTCTCTAAAACACTGATAATCTTATTCAGAAATCCTTAAAGCCAAACGCTGCAACACAGCTGCATAATTTTATCCATGTTAAAAACTTGTGTCAACAAACCCAAACTTCCTGCTTTTTGCAAAGCATGACTCACGCGCTGCTTTGTCTGAGTGACATAAGAGATCTATTTCAATCATATGACAATAACTTAAAATCCAACCAGCCGTTTATCTGGAAATCAAAGCTTGCACTTGCAGGGCGGATGGTTGCTAATAGGAATGACGTTTTACCTAACTCCACTCCAGAACTGCCTGCTTTTCTTGATTGACTTGCTCTCAGAGCATCGAGGCACAGCAATGAAAGCTCAGCATGCCACCTCGTGGCTGCCCTGCACCGAAGGCCATTAGTAGGCTGCAGCGTGATCGCTTCTAGCCTGTCATTTCTCCCAGAAAACCTCAGAGCCTCAGAAAGACGCACATACTGTAATTAGTGCATCACCACCTCTGCTGATATCTTTTCATAAGCAGAATAGAATCAAGCACCAGGTCAAATCAGAGAAGAGAAGTAGATGTTACACAGAAGAAATGCCACTGAATTGGAGTTCACGGGATAAAAAACTAGGTATGAAGAATGCAATTGTTGGAATGTAACTGGAGGAACAGGCTTGGAGAGCTACTGCCAACCAGAATAGGAGTTTGTCTGGAAAGATGAGCTAGACGTGCTTTAAAATGCTCAATCTACCACATGGTTTCTCTTCTGTGTTGGCGGAGTTTTACCTTCATAGGTCTTGCTGTCTTTTTTGGCTGTTTCATGCCATTTATCAAATGCACAAGACACACAGCTAACCTGACAGAGGCTCTGCACCTTCACAAGGATTTCACTCAAGTTAGTATGCGTTTTGTAGTAGCTTTAAGCAAGGCTTTTCCTGCCACAGCTTCCCATTGCCAACTGGCTGCTTTCGCTGCCTTCCTCATGCAGGCACAAGGTCAGGAAACAACTTTTAGTTGTTTTATTGCTCAGAAAAAGCAGCTTCCTGCCAATGTGTAGAAGGAACAGGAAAAATTGGCAAGGGATAGACTGGAGGGTGGGAACACTTCTTTTTGGGGACAGTGCTTAGCCAGAGCATCTTAAGCTAGTTATAACATTCCTATTCAGAGTTGTTATGTGTTGTTTGGCTGAGCCAGCTCAACCTCATCTACCTGGCAAGAAACTGCTCTTGTTGCTTTTGTGGAAGGTGAATCAGTTCATCACAGGGTCAGGGGCATGCCAGAGTCAGTGCAATCCGTATATCCGGGACCAAAGTGCATGGCGGGTGAAGGGAGTAAAGAGCAGAATCTTCTCTTTTTGTCAACCACAAACTGTTATCTCAGCTACTGTGTAATTTCCTAACATGTAATTTCAGCCTCAGAGGCAGGATTTAGCACTTGGAATCGTACAGCCGATCTCCCAGCCTGGTAGTCCATGCTTCTCTGCTCTTCAGTGTGGCATTTTGCTAGGGTTAACATCCTGTTGGACAAGGAAAACGACTGTTCAAACAAAGCAGGTTCAAGCATCTGCCTCTGTGTTGAAGCAGAGATGAGTTTGGCTCCCAGAGAGGCTTTGACAAGGGACGAACACCGGCTTGTACAAAATGATTTTGAGCCATTTGCAGATAGAGCTTGTTGTCAGTCGACTTAAGGGAAATCTACTTCTCAAAGGTCTTGTGCTCTCTTTTTTGAGCATAAGCAATTCTCAGCACCATACGTTAAATATTCTGGGAAAGATTGCCTCGTGCTCACTGGATTTATAACTCACTGGGATAAAATGACCAGGAAAGTTCGTTGCCAGCTAACAAATCTCCAAACCACCCTGCAGCAGTCACATGCCCTTAATAGCAAGTCACCTGCTCTGTACAGAAAGGTAAGGCTTTAATTCACCCAGATAAGCCCGGGTAATGATAATAGAGGCTTTGTTGAAAGAACACCCCATTGTTCAAAGACTGGTGTGCCTGCCCAGGGAAAACAAAAGGAAATGTTTCTAGCCTTTAAAAATCACGGCAGAATTGAAGAGGTTGGCAACAAAACAAGTCAGTCATGCATAGAATTTTTTTTTTTTAAGTCAACAGCAGCTTTTCTGTTGTGCAAATAAAAAAGAGATCGTTTTCTACTCATTGTGCTCTGACCTTGTACCTGCAACTCCCATGATTACGGCACAGAGAAGGTTTTTTTTATACTGAGATGCCTGCGCTTGGTCTTAACTCGGCTGCCGGGTTTGAAAACGCTGCTGCAAGTGCATCTGAAGGTTGATCTGCATCCCTGATATTTTCTCAGGAACTGTTTCAGCAGATGCCATCCTAAAAGCAGAAAAAAAATTGGGTTTATGTGCTCCCTGACAGAAGACTTCCATCAGGTTTTATACTGTCTTGCAAGTTCTGCTTGGTAACTGCCTAAGTTTTTTTATGATACGGGTGGTGAGGCACTGGCACAGGTTGCCCAGAGATGTGGTGGTGCAGATCCCTGCAGACACCCCAGGTCAGGCTGGACGGGGCTCTGAGCACCTGATGGAGCTGTAGGTGTCCCTGTTCATTGAAGGGAGGTTGGACTCGATGGCCTTTCAGGTCCCTTCCAACATCTCTCCTGTAGGGAGTGCCCTTTACGCACTGGAAGGCCGCTCTGAAGTCTCTCCTTCAGGCTCAACACCCCCAGCCTGTCTCCATAGCAGAGGCACTCCATCCTCTGCACGTTCTCACGCCCTCCTCTGGATCCCCTCCGGGTCCTTGAGGCGCTGCGGGCCCAGGAGGAAACGCTTCCACGCGCCCTACAGGAGAGCCGCAACCCCCGCCTCAGTGACAAACCGCCGTACACACGCGTTGCCGCGCAGCGCTCTGTCATGCATTGTGGGAGCTGTAGTTCGCGGCTCGCCGCACTACAAGTCCCAGCCTCCCGAAAGAGGAGGAGGAGAACGGCGAGGAGGAGGAGGAGGAGTGGAAGTGAGCCGGCTCGGCCCAGGCCTGCAGCCCGCACGGGAGAGCCCCCCGGGGGCGGGCCGCGGCGGCATGCGGCTCCCCGTCCGGCTCGGCCCGCTCCGCAGCACGCCCCTGGCTGCCCGGCCGCCGGGGAGGGGCAGGGCCAGGGCCAGGGCCGGCGGGCGGAGAGCCTTCAGCCGCGGGCGGCCCGGCGGCACCATGGCTGAGGAGGCCAAGAGGCTGGCAGCCTGCGCGGCGGTGGACAAGCACGTCCAGGTGAGGCACCCGGGGCTTCTCATCGCCTGCCTTCCCTGCTTCGCACGAGTTAGGAGCCTGGTCTTGCCTCGTAACTTTCCCTTTGCCCACCGCTGCGAGATGGGCTGGGGGAAAAGCTCGGGCTAAAGCGCCTGTCCCAAAGCTTGGGGTGCTCTGAGCCCTGATCAGGGGTGCTCCCAGTCCTCTGCCGGGCTGTGAGCTTTCCCTCCTTGCTCAGGTAGGGCTGGAGCTGCACAGGCTGATGGTGAGCACTTGGAGGGTCAGTGGCTAAAGCTGAGCGGTGGTTTATCTTGGTGTTTGCTGTGCAAGCTATGTTGCAACAGCAGTGATGAAAGAGCATCAAGGAGCCCGATGTGAGCATTTAGGGGAAAAAACCCTCTTCCTTCCTGATTCCCCCAGACCCAGTTGTCATTAGGCTCCGTGCTGTCCCGTAAATATTTCACTTGTTTTACAGCCTTTCCTTCCTCCTCCAAAGCTGTCTGGGTGACGGGAGCCTGGTGTGCATCAGCTCCTGGCTGAAAGCAGACCTTGGAGTTGTACACTTAGGGTTTTGCAGCAAAATGCAACTCCTAAATCTGGGCTTTTGCGCTATTCTGTGGTTAAGCAAACTTATGGTGATGTTTCTGTCTGCATCCCAGCTGATTAAAGTTGAGGGTCTGGTTAACGATTCAGTAAAACAGGCAGCAGTGGAAGTAGCACTGCAATATTTGCTGTGTGAGTTGGTATGAAGCAGTGGTGGAGAAGCAAGTTTGGAGTCCCCGCTGAACAGCTGGAAACTCAGCTATGGCAGAAAATCTGCCTCCTCTTCAACTAATATCAGGAGGGTGCAGCTGCTTTTTGCAACAGCTTTGTGCGCAGCCGTTGCTATCACTGTTAGCAGGAGGAGCTTTGTAATCTTCAAAAATGCTGACTTCAGAAACACAGCTGCAGACTCCTTTTGGAAGATGCTGCTGCGTTCAGGCTTGGTTGTGCAGGACAAGTCTCATTCTCCACTCCGATGTTGGGGCTGTTACCCTTGCTTGCACCCATCCCAAAGAGCAGCTCCTTGGGCAGCCCATGGCAGAACTTGTGAGGAACTGGGAGGATTAGCAGAGGAGAGTTTTTTGTCTCCCTTTTAAAATTTAATTAAAGGTAGGTATAACTTCCACAGTGGACTGAAGATACCTAAGAGGAAAATGAGGCTCTCACTGTCCCTTTAAGGCACTCAAGAAGCTGTCCCAGCCCTTGGAGTTGAGGGCAAGGAGTCCAAACTGCCTCATACATGGCCAAAAATGAGCCTCGCTCCTCTCCCCTTGCAGCTGCTGCACTTGGCTCTGGCAACTGAAACCCAGAAACACTGGGTGCTATAGGCTTTCTCCCATAGTAGTGCTGCTGGCAGTGTTGCAAGCATATGGCCGTGACCTGTTCCTTTCCCCTTTTGCAGAGTCACGCTGGTTAGGAAGGGCTGGACCTGTTCTATGCTGGGTTTCTGAGAACTGTTTTACTTTTTTCTAAGCTTTCAACTTGCAGAAGAGAGGGAAATCATTAATCCTGGGGGACTGCAATGTCCTGAGCTCCACCTTTCCAGGCAGGCTCATGTCCCAGTAACATTTCAGTTGATTGAAATGCTGTATCTGTGGCACTGTCCACAACTTGTTGCACATGGAGGATAGTTCCTAAGCTGCTTAACATCCAAGAAGTGACACTCAGCAGCTGTGTGCCTGTGCCTGCAACTCCAGCTGGGTTGAAATTGAGCATCTGAAGTCTCTGTAGCAATATTGTGTCTCCTTAAGTCAATTTCAGCTTTGGATCCCATCCAGAGAAGGGGCAATTAAATGAAAATGAGTGTACAAGAGGCAGCAGGTAGCTCTGGCTGGATGGGAGGTTGAGAGGATAATAACTGCAGACTTATATAGAGCATCCTCTTGGGAGGTAATAAATCCATGCACCCTCAGCCTGTGGCATGCTTTAGAAGCGTGTGTGTGTTGTGGATGAGGCCACAGTGATCTGTAAGCCAGACCAGAAGCAGAGAAAGCCCAGGGCTGAGCTGTGATCCTCTCCAGCACACGCTGCCAGGCTCACCCATCTTTCAAGTGTCGCTGGACTCTCTTGCAGCCACTTACACGCTTCTAGAGGATGATGTTCATTATCCTCTAGGAACTACTACTCTCTTCTTTGCATCCATACTATTTGCTAACCATACTGTTGGCAACAGCCCGGCACTATTACTATGTGGCTTCTTTGGGAGATGTTATCTTGAGGTTGTTTCAGCTTTTTCCTCTGTGGGTTGTGTGGATTTCCTGGCTTTCCAACAGGAGCACTCTGGATGGAGTGCTGTGTTGCCTGCCGTTGTGCCGCAGAGCTGATGGTTTCCTATCGCCTGCTTTCAGAAGGAAAAGGCTTGTCTTCTGCCAGGGCTGGGGCTTGTTTCAAAGTTGCTGCTGGCTAGCAGCACTCAAAGACTGAGCTGCCAGTTCCCGTGCAGTAGTGGTGATGTGGAAGTTGTGGAAGTGGTTGTCAGTCTTCTTCCTCTGCACTGGGTTTTTGTGGGGGAGGAAAAGCCCCGCTTTCTTTTTACAGCCCTCATCACAATTCCTCAAGGATTAGTTGGAATTCAAACTCTTTAGTGGTGCTGAGGCTGCCAGTAACAAGCAGTGAGAATGCATTGAATGCCTCAAGAGCCAGAGCACAATGATGTTTAGTGACCACGTGTCCTTTAAGGAGTGGGTGAGTTGCTTAAAATCTCATAGCCACCCTCTCCTAGAGGAAGCAGCTGCCCTGCCATGCTGGAGAGAGTTCCCTTCCATGTCTGAAGCATGCTAACACGCGGTGTCCCCTTGCATGTAGCCAAAATACAGAGTCTGTTGGGAAAAGCAGAAGAAGCCCTGTTAACAGCTCTCCTCTGTCTCTCTTTGATTTGCAGAACAACCAAGTTCTTGGCATCGGGAGTGGTTCTACAATTGTCCACGCAGTGCATCGATTAGGTAGGATGCTCCCCTGCTGCAGGAAGTCCTCTTGTCCAGCTGCCCTCGGCTAATTGAAAACCAACCCTAAATGATCAGGACTGGGAGCTCATGCTTTAGGGGTATTCACCCACTGCTTTGTCCTTGAAGCTGAAGGTTCGTGGTCCAAATTGATTGCACATGGAGACATGAGCAGGGATTGGTTTCCTTGACTTTGCTTGGCAGGGCTGAGCATTGCCACCTGCTCTCCCTGGAGGGCCAAGGAATGAACTTTATTGGCACCCACCGCAAACTGGAGCTAAAAATCTCCCTTTTCGTTCCAGCTCTGCCATGTCTTGACTTGCTTTGTGGCTTTGGGCCATGCAGCTGCTCTGCTTCTGTTAACCCATTTGTATGCAGCTCATGCTGCTTGCTTACATCCACAGTATTCACACTGAGGGTCCTGCTGAGGCGTAAGCAGAACAAGGGTTGAAATCTGGCTGCGTCTTTTTTATACCCTGCAGCTGGGTTGATCTGCTGGCCCTGGGGGACTAGTTAGCTCAAGGTGTCTTTCAGAACATTTCAGCCTCTTCGCAAAATATTCAAGAGAGGGAAATGCAGTTTTGCAAAGCGAATGTGAAGATAATTATCATCAAGCCTCATTACAGAGGGTATTGAAATCTAAAGTTTCTTTTCAGCCTTGGGGCTCCTGTTTAGAAGCACAGCTCAGAGTGTCCTACCTGCGTGACCCCAGCTTCTTGGGTAGAGCTGGCCCAGAGCAGGGCTTAGAGTAGAGCAAAGGAAACATGGGATCAGGGTGGGACCTGCTTGCTTGCACCCACATCACCCCACGCACAGATTTGTCTGGGAGGTGGCTTGAGAGCTGCCATTCAGCAGTCTGGGTTTGGCTCAGTGTTACAGCCATTCCCCACTTCAACACTGGATCCATCTCTAAACAAATGCAGCTTTTTGAGTCTACTGAGATTAGAGTTCTAACAGCACACAGCTCTGTGTATTACATTTTAACCCTGGCAGCGGGGTTGCCTTGAAGTTTACAGCCCACCTCTTTGCTCTGTTGCTGACTCTCAGGCTTTTGGCTCAACCCTAAGTATTATATTTGCTAAAATAACATTTTGTCCATAATTATATCTTAGTAATAGATTTTAGTCATTTGAGGTTAACCCGAGGGAGGAAATATTTCCTCCCATTTAGTGCAATATTTTATTAGTCATTTGCCTGCTATATATTTAAACGTTTCATAAGAAGTGGACATGATGTCCCCAAGGCAACAAGCCAGAAAACTTCTCAGACAGCTGCTGCAGCTCTGTTTACAAGGAGCACAGCAAAACCTGTCTAATGGAGCGCGAGTGGGAGTGGGGCTGAGTTCCCAGGTGATGTTTTGCTGACGAAGCACAACCCTTGCTCTGTTGCTGGAGACACGAAGGTTAATGGCTGTGTGTCAGGGGCTGGGTTTTGATGGGTGAAAAAGGAGCCTTAGCTTTGCAGGGTGGCACCTGTTTGTGCTTTGAGCGTGACTGAGTTATTTGCAAGTCAAGCAAGTAATTGCAGTGATTCAGAAGGGCTGTTCTGAACTGAGATTTCTTAAAGAGAAAGCTGGTGTGATTTTTATTCTGCAGTGAACAAACTGAGTCTTCTGCTTTCTTCGTACAGCTGAGCGGGTTAAACAAGAGAACCTGACAATTGTCTGCATCCCTACGTCTTTCCAGGTAAGCTCCTTCCTTCCTGGTTTTATTCCAGCCCGGGTGCTCACATACACAGTCATTCCTTTGACAGTGGTGAACCAAGCACATAATGCAAAAATCTCCTTTGATTCCATATCAGGCCCTGAAAGCTGTACAAATCTTGGTGCAAGCTTTTGTGTTTCCAAGAGGAGCTTGACTGAGTACATCAGCTGGCTTTTGCAAAACATTGCAGAGGAGACATCAGCTTAATTTTTCCTTCGCAGTGCAACTTTTCCAGAGATCAGTTCTTACCAACCTAGTTGTTGAGAAAGATGGCAGGGAGAGGGAAAATGTGGCTCAGTGGTAAAACATAGAGCTGCTCAGAAAGCTTTTGAGCTGCTTCCATGCCTTCAGGCAAATAGCTTTGCTCTCTCTGCCACATTTCCCTGAGGTGGAAATGTGCTGCTGATAAGCAGCTGTGCACCTTGTTCCCTTAGGGCAGGGAAAGGTGACATCACCAGCTGGCAGGACAGAGACTACCTGCAGGGTTTCAAGGCTAGATAACAGTGCCCCAGTCAGTGAATTGGGCATTTATCCTTTTCTTGGTCCTGGTGTGGATTCTAGGGTTGTACCTTTGTCCACTGGAGGACTTACCATTACTTCTGTTTCATACATACACTACAGTGGCAATCTCTCTTCAATCTGTCTAAAGTGATCCCCACCTGGGGATGTCACCTGCCATTTGAACCTAGGGAAGCTCCTTTGAGTTCAGTTGTTAGGTCTTACAGAAAATATTGATATCACATGGTGAGTGTGGGCTGGAGTCTGCCTTGCCTTGAAGTATTCGTGTAACATCAGAATTTCTTAGCGGTGAAACAACATGGTTGGTGGTAAAGGGTGAGCACAAATCCCCTCAGCATGGGGCTGATTCTTATCTTGTGCAGCCTCTTAGACCTCACAGAATCTTTAAGGTTGTAAAAGGCCACTGAGATCACATAGTTCAACCTCTACCAATTAGGAGCAAAGCATTCCCAAGTCAGCAAAACAGCATCTTATTTTCGCTGTGTACAGGTGTAAATGGCTGCCTGAGGTCACTGGCAAGGAAGAATTGCTTTCAGTGGGCTTTTATTCTTCTCCCTTCCCTGTTGTAAGGTTGGGTTATTCCATCACCACCACTAAAGCTAGTGTCAGGGTAAGTATCCATCCCTTGGCTTTTGCGTTGTTTCTTCTTTTCACCTGGATGCCTGCCGAGAGCATGGAGCGAAGCCAGTCTTGGCAACGACCTGTCACTCATCTAATCCCAAAAGGACCCACCCTTCCAGCCAGCTAATGTGCCTTGGACTGCATTGGATTCCCAGTGCTGGGCAGTGAGGTTAACCTGGTCCTTGTGGGTAGGCCAGCGCTGTGCAGTTTCTGCCGCTTTGTCCCCTACTGTGGGAGCTCTGCTTTTGATTCCTGCCAGTCTGCTCTCATCACTTTGCAAGCAGAGAGCCTGAAGAGAGCCACCTCGTTTCCACACTATTGACTCTGAGCCTGTTAAGGGTCCAGCCTGCATGTACAGCACAGCATTTTTCAATGCTTTCAGTTCCCAGATCTTTGAAATCTTTGTACATGAACACCATATTGTGAATGTAAACCCACTGATGGCAGTCTTTTCTATTTTGTGAGCTCTTACAGGGCAAGTCTAGTGCATAGTGTGATCTAGAGCCCACAGCCCACAGGTTTTAAAACTGCATGCTAAGGAGTGCTACTGTAATGTAAAAGATTGGAGTTGTATCTCACTGCTGGGACTACTCCTGGCTAATTCTTGTAATTGTTTCCAGGATGCCAATATGTATAGCTGGTGCACTTTGTTAGCAGGTAAAGCTTGGGATGAATTCTAGGCTGTGACACACGTTTCTCTGAATAGCCAAAGTTCAGTCTTGAAAAGAGTTTTGTGCAAGGTCAAACACAGGCAATGATTTGTGAGATGTAAAATTTAACTCATTTCAGGTTCTGTAAGCTTGAACTTCCACTTAAGAAGCCAATGAATGGACCAAAGGGAGCATAACTGCAGGTTCTTTGTGTTCTATTGCTTCTAGAGGGAAACTCACAGCTACTTTGAAAAAAAATAGATCACAGCCACCAAAGAGCTATTTCAGGAGGTGTTCCACACTTTTTCTATGAGTTATGCTTTTCTTTTTTGCTTTTCAGTTGTTTGTTTCTTTTCAATATGAAAAACATTTTCATTGTTAGTCCCATATGATGTAAATATTTCGTTTTCCTGCTCCGATTTTTCAGCCAAAGGAAATCAGAGGGAACTTGAGAATCCCATACCTGCCTTCATGCTTAAATACAGGTGTCTCCCACCAGGCTGATAGCCCCATGCTGTTCAGTATGGAGAGACCTGGATGCAGCCCCATCCCTTTGCACCATCTAAGCATTTCAGTTCAAATCAGCATTATTTTGATGAAAAAATTCTGGTCTGGAAGCATCATTTCCTCCATGCCATACATTTCTGCTGCTGATTGCAGCCCCTCAGCGAGCTCAGGATGCAGCACTGCAGCCCCCATCCATGTGGCAGCAAGGAGAACGACACGACGAGTCTGATTTCCTTTCCTGCTGCTGGTAAATAGTGTTTGCTGTGTTCTTGGTGCACAGGCCCGTCAGCTGATCCTGCAGAATGGCTTAACACTAAGTGACCTGGACCGACATCCAGAGGTAAGTGGGACTGCAGGATTGAGACCTTACTGACCTGCCTCTAACCCAGTCCTCATAAAGCTCCAGGCTCATCTGTCCTTGCTGAGGATAAAAACTGCAGAACGTGAGAGAACTGTTTTTTGTTTTTTTTTCTCCTGAATGTAGTTTCCTCAAAGCTGTGGTCTGGCTGAAAGACTGGTTTATGGTGACTTGTAGGACCCAGGCCAGTACAGAGCAGGGACAGGAGACTGTCCTCCTCCATTTTCCACAAAACAAAAATCACTGAATTGTAGAATTATGAAGTATTCTGAGTTGGAAGGGACATACAAGGACCGTAGGGTCCAACCCCTGGCTCCACACAGCACCACTCAAAATCCAAACCCAAATCCTTCTTTTGGAGGCTCTCTAATATTCATATCCTTCTTATATTGCGGTGCCCCAAACTGCACACACCTCGCAGTGAGGTGAGGCTGCAGATGCTCTAAAATCCCAACTGCTGATCCCGTGAGGTGACCAAGAAGGGCAGTGCTCATCTCTGGGTGGTCACTTAAAATGACAAATAGGGTGCTAAGCTAGTGGCCTTCTCTTCCAGCCTGGGGCTTGCTGGCAGGGGATATTGCATTGCTGAAGTGTTGTCACAAGCATTTTTGCCAGGAAACCCCAGCTGTCATGCAGATCCTTAGCTGAGAAAACTGGAGGCTGAAGAGACTTGCCTTGCAGGCCAACAGTTGGTTTTGTTTTGTTTCTTTTCTCAATTTTTGCATGCTTGTGGTTGAACTGGGGCTGGTTTCCTTGGGTGGCTGAGCAGATGCTCATCTCTGGTTGGGCTGGCATAAACTCCAGTGAACCAGGTGAGGTTTTCATACTGAGTTTCTTGTCTTCCTACAGCTTGATGTTGCCATTGATGGAGCGGATGAGGTGGACTCTGATCTTAACCTGATCAAAGGAGGAGGGTGAGCCTTGCTGTCTGTATGTCTGTATGTGGCACAGGTGCTGGGTGTCCTTGAGCTGCACTGAGGAGCAGGCTAATGTTTAGTTGGTTTTTTTTCTTCCCTTGCAGTGGTTGCTTGACACAGGAGAAGATAGTTGCAGGATATGCAAAATGCTTCATTGTTATTGCTGATTACAGGTAAAATATTACTATTCTTTGTGTGGAAATATTTGGATGGCCCTGTGTTAGACTGCTACAATCCTAGTGTGTCAGGGGAGCAAGAATTGGTGGAAATGAGCTTAACTCCCAGTGCTTCAGCAATTGAATTTGTTTTTTTTTCCTTAATTGTCATCTCAGCAGGCCTGCTTAGAAGTCAGCAGAGCTTGGGAGGAAAAGGCTGCTCTGCTTTTTCTGAGCATAGTGATTGTCAGCATGGAATAAATTTACCCTTCTGTGCCTGCAGCTGCAGGGCTGTAGAAAACTTCCATCCTGCTTGTCCAAAATGTGTCAAAACAGGGCTTATGAGCAGAGCTTCCTGCACTAAGCTGATTCTTCCTACTTGAGTGCATGTGCAAACTGATTGCCATGCCCTCCAGGGCCTTACACCTGAGGGATTTGTGAGAAAGAATGTGATAAGTGCACTGTTAATGGTGGTGACAATTAACACTGATGCCTCCTCAAAACCTCAGGAAAAAATCAGAGAGCCTTGGGGAGCAGTGGAAGAAGGGAATCCCTATTGAAGTCATCCCCATGGCTTACGTCCCTGTCACCAGAGCGCTGACCAAAAACTTTGGAGGTGCTGCAGAGCTGCGGATGGCTGTTAGCAAAGCAGTGAGTGTCCCTGATCCCTCTGTGGCCAACAAAGCCACCTGAGTGTGGCCAAGAAGATCTTTCATCTGATCAAATCTGTTTCCTTTAATTGTACTTAATGAACTGTGTGTTTAGATGTTGGGGTTCCTTGTGTAAGTCTTATGTCTCCCAGAGCAAGCAGCTCTGAACAGTGAGAATAAGGTGGCTGTTCTGTGTCTGAGGGCTGCTCTGTGTCTCTCCTTGGCCACAACCAACCTGCCATCCAGAGCACAGGTTGCTGTTTTTGTGGAAACACTCTCTGTCCTGCTGGGTCCTCCATCTCACAAATACTCAAGTTGTTGCTCTGCAAGAATGTTTAAGGCTGGAGGGCAGTCTGTGCTGCCAAAGTGTATTGAATGAGGTGGGCAGCTCTTGGAGACCCCAAGCTGCTGTGTGACACACAGAGCAAGAGTGGACTAAAAACTGAGCCTGCTTTGTCTCCACTGTCCTATTCTGGCTTGAACAGTGGGGCTTGACCAATGCATGTGGCAAAGGAAGAGAGGACTGTCTCCAGTTACAGCTGGAGCTAACACCTGAAGGCTGAGCACTTTTAATAAGTTTAATCCCTTGGCCCAAGAGGTTGAGGAGCTATATTTAGGAGCCTGAGAAGAGAAAGCCACTTGTCTTCCATGAGCTCAAGACCAGCCTTGCCTGGGGAATGCAGATCCCAGTGCTCCAGCATGAGCTGTGTCCTTGGAGGATTCTGTCTCATGCTGTGGTCTTACCCCCTGGTCCTTCCCAGCATGTGTGGTTTACAAACCCTGCTCAGGGTTGCTGAAACTCCTTATTCTCAGCCCCAGTTTTCTCATCTTTGTTAAAAGGACTCCAAAACCTCCCTGTGAAATGCATCAGCCCACCCTTATCACGAGGGTGCAGAAGTCTTGCTTGGGCTTCAGTTGCCTATAGTTGCCTGCTAAGGACATATCTCTAGTGAATCTTGTGAAAAGGATCCTCTATCCTCTATTGATGAAATCATATCAATTTTTCCAGCTTTTGTATGATAATCTGTGAACCGTAGGCAGAAGAACAAGGAAGGCACAGCTGCCTTGGGCAACGGGTTACAGGGTTATTGTTTGTATGGAGCAGTGGACTGTGCCCTTGTTTACTCAAATGATGACCTTCTCTACACTGTTGCAGCAGGGACGGCTCCCGGTGTAAGGCTGTGCTTGGTACAACAGGAGCTTGTGGTGCTGACATAGGTTTGCTTCCCAGGGTCCCGTGGTGACAGACAATGGGAACTTCATCCTGGACTGGAAGTTTGACAAGGTTCATGAGTGGAACAAAGTGAACACTGCCATAAAAATGATACCAGGTAATGTCTGTGATGTTAAAGACCAAAAACTGGCTAAGGCTTGGTCTGTACTAGAAATCCCTGACCTTGGGAGCTAGGAGCATGAGACTGTTTCTGTTGTTCATGAGCTGTTTCTGGATCATTAAGCCCAAGGGTGGTGACACTTCAGCAAAGCAACATACAGAGGCTTGCTCAGTCCCATCTGTATGTCTTGGCTGGATATTTTCGTGAAAGTCTGCTCTTGAATCTGGTTGGCTTTTGAGTGCATCTTAAATATTTTGAGTTTATCTCATATAGCTGTCTGCCCACTACTGCGCACAGCAGAGCTACCATTAGCTTTACTGCTTTTTGTGTCTTACCAGAGCAGGAACAAGATGGGATCCTGTTGCACAAACCTCCATGTCTGCACAAAGCAGCACCACGATTAGACTACAGCTTTGGGCAGAAGCCTTGGGTTTAGGCTGAGTGAAGTGTCTGTCCCTGATTACTTCAAGTTGCTTCTGTTTATTAGCTTTGCTTCCTTCAGTGCTTATTAGAAGGCTTATTTGCTGAAAACATACCCATTTCCTTTTGTCTGGATCTAGGAGAAAACTGCTGGTGTGTTACCTCTGCCTTGGCTTGTCCTGATGCCTTTGCAGTCTGAATAATTACCTGGCACTTGCTCACAGCCGACAGTAGATGGCAGGTTAAGACCTTTGGCAAGAGCTGATCTGAACAAACCAGTGTCTGATGTAAATAGACTGGTGGCACTGCTAGTGTGGGCTGTCCTGGTGCAGTGCTCTCTGTACCCTAGTGCTTTTTCAGTCCATGGCTGCACAAACATGTTTTATTAGAGTTCTTTCTGTGCACAAGAGAAACGGTGGCTGGTTCTGCAGAAACAAAACACACAGTCTTTTCATGGGCTCCTTCTTGCATCTCTCAGCCAAGAGGGATGAAGGGGAAAGAGACAGATTGGAGGTAGTTTCAGCATGCTGTGGTCTAACCATGAGCTCGTAAGTGAGCCTGCTAAGAGGAAAAGAGCATCTTCCCTACCCAGAAGTGGAAGAGCAGAGTTGTTAAAGTCTGGATATACTGGTGATAGCAGGGCTCTGTGCACTTTACATGTGGTTGCCTTCTCCTACTTTTTTTTTCTTCAGCCTTCTTGGAGTGTGTTCATCTGGTAGGAATTGGGTTTGAGGCTTGGCTGTGCAAGCAACCAATGTGAGTGTTTACATACAGGTCCTGGATTGCAGCAGGAGTTGTTGGTGAAATGAGGGCTTGCACAGCATACTTGGTGCTGGCTCTGAGTGTTGGTGGCCTCTGCCTCTGGGGGCCTTGGCAAGCTGAGTGCCACGTGTGTCAGCAGGCTGCCACCTGAAAGGACTCTGAGGGCTGTAGAGCTGTGCATCACTGTGAATTGCAAACATTAGAGTTGTTTAAGGATTTCATGTGCCTCAAAATAGAGGTAATGACATCCCCAGGCTATTTTTTCCTCTGTGTAAGGAAAGACCAACTGCGTGAGCAACACTTTGATGCTCTTCTTTTTTTCCCCTCTTCTTTGGTCAAAAACATAGAACCATGACAGGCTTCAAACCCATTTTGCCCTTAACTCCTCTTAATGTGATTAACTTCTCATGGGCTTTTCTGCAGTCCTAATATCTATGGTATCAAAGCCTTAATGGTATCAAAGCCTTAATCAATATGAGAAGCAGGATATTCTCCCCTCTGCCAGAGGAAGTTTCAGTGTGATTCATAGAATCATTAAGGTTGGAAAAGACCTCTAAGATCCTCTAATCCAACCATCAACCCATCCCCACCATGCCCCACTAACCATGTATTTCAGTGCTATATCTCCATAGCTCTTGAACATCTCCAGGGACAGTGACTCCAGACCACTTTCCTGGGGATGCTACTCCAATGCATCACCACTCTTTCAGAGAATAATTTTTTCCAGATCTCTCCTAAGGAGTCTGGATGGGAGCAAAGCCTGGAGGTTTTATACAAACCCGTGCAGCTGGCTCATGTTTTCCATCTGCTTGGTTTGGAAGCTGCTAGCCTGGGTGCTTACAGGATCTGACTGTGGCTCAGTGACCATTGTGAGGTTAAGAGCATCCCATAATTATGTAATTAAATTCAACCAAAAGTACATCTGCTAATGGGCCACAAATTGCAGAGGTAGTATCAGATCTGCTTTGTCTTAACATTGTTCCTTACTCTGTGGAGAGTTTCCTCTGGAGTCAGCTGCAAGGAAAAGACTTCCCAGATGCTCCCTGTGTGGTTGATGAAAGATCACCCATGTCGGACACCTCTCAGAAGATTCCAGCACTGGGGTGGTTCTGGCACTAATTCATAGAATCATAGAATGGCCTGGGTTGAAAAAAAACCACAATGCTCATCCAGTTCCAACCCCCTGCTATGTGCAGGTCACCAACCAGCAGACCAGGCTGCCCAGAGCCACATCCAGCCTGGCCTTGAATGCCTGCAGGGATGGGGCATCCACAGCCTCCTTGGGCAACCTGTTCCAGTGCATCACCACCCTGTGTGAAAAACTTCCTCCTAATATCTGACCTAAACCTCCCCTGTCTCAGTTTAAAACCATTCCCCCTTGTCCTATCACTATCCACCCTTGTAAACAGCCGTTCCCCTTCCTGTTTATAAGCTCCCTTCGAGTACTACAAGGCCACAATGAGGTCTGTTTGGAGCCTTCTCTTTACAAGCTAAACAAGCCCAATTCCCTCAACCTTTCCTCACAGGAGAGCTGCTCCAGCCCTCTGACCATCTTAGTGCCCTCCTCTGGACCCCCTGCAAAAGCTCCACATCTTCCTGTACTGTGGGCCCCAGGCCTGGACACAGTACTGCAGATGGGGCCTCACAAGAGCTGAGTAGAGGGTGACAATCACCTCCCTCTCCCTGCTGACCCCCCCTTTTTTAATGCAGCCCAGAACACAGTTGGCCTTCTGGGCTGCAAGCACACACTGCTGGCTCATGTCCAGCTTCTGATCTGCCAGGACCCCCAAGTCCTTCTCCACATGGCTGCTCTCAAGGAGATCCGTCTAAATACCTGCGATTGCCCCGACCCAATTGCAGCGCCCTACACTTGGCCTTATTGAACCTCATTAGATTCTCACTAGAGGCCCACTTCGCCAGCCTGTCCATTTCCCTCTGGGTGGCTTAATTGGCTCATTGACGAATTGGCTGATGAACTCTTGTTCCCAGGCGTGGTGGAGACGGGGCTGTTCATCGACATGGCGGAGGTGGTGTACTTCGGCATGGAGGACGGCTCGGTCAGCGTGCGGGAGAAGCAGCCTCGCTGATGGCGGCGGTTCGGCCCGCTCCGCTTTGCCTTCGGCCGGTTTGATTCAGCTGTGGTAACGGTGCCAACCTGACGTTATGCCTTAACGAGCAGCGGTTGTCGCAGGAGGTGGACGGGGAGTCGGTCAGAACCCGCTGATGTGATACTGAATGTCTTTTTAAAAAAACAAAACAACAAAAAAAAAAGAGATGCTCTATTTCCAGATATATATATATATTTTTACTTTACAAGAATGTTGTCCTTTTTTTAAAGAATCAGTTAAACGAATTGCTTTAACATTTTTATTTTATTTTCTAAGAAATATTTACCAAAAAAAAAAAAAGAATACTTTTTGAATTCTGTTGTTGTTTTCTGTTTTTCCTTTTTTTGAACTGAACTTGAACCTTCCTGGTCGCTCTTAGTGCTCGGTGATTGGTGTTACTGTCCTAATAAATCATCCTTAACCACTCTGGCTGGGAGGATGATGTACATAATGGGAGCACATCCAGTTGGGACCGACTGATGCCTTATTTGGAACCTTTTTGGTTCGGTATTTTATGCCTTTTATTTTTCTATACCACTGTTTTTTAATAGTTGAGGATGTCTAGTTAATCCTCTGTGCATATGACAAATCTCTGAGCCTGAGGACATTGCATCCCTGTGTCTGGGACATTAAAAGGGGCCTTTTTGGGGCCTCTGTATGGAAGAGATGTTCATCCTTCGAGCCAAATTCTGTTCTACAACTGCTCTGATCTAGTACCTCTGATTAAAGTCTGTTCCAGTAGCTGGAGATATTCGGGATTTCATCCTTGTATAATGAGAGCAGAACTGGGCACTTGATGAAGTTTACAAAAGCACATTTGAGCATTTTAGGGCAGTGTTCAGTGGCAAATTATTTGGTTTAGAATGAAGGTTAATTATCACCTCTCACAGCTGGTTGATTTGTAGAAGGATAGAGTGGAATGCAAGGGAAAACCGAGTCTTCCTGCCTAAGTTTACCATATGTAGCAGGAGAGAGACACTCGTTCAGTATCTTGTTCTCTGTGTATAGGTGCTTTGCATGATTCTGGTATCAAAATGCAAGCCCTCTTTTTGTGTAATAGACACTGAAATAAAGAGCTGTTATAACAGATATTCATCTTAAGGTGACTATTTTGGGAACAACACAAAATACTTGTTGAGACTAACTTGTGCTCTGATTCCACTAAAAGCTTCTGTCTGCTTTTTCCCCTTACATGGGCACTGCATCCAGACCCTGTTGCATTTGATTTCTTTTCGCTTAAGGTAAATACACTACTTTATTTTACATTAACCAGATTCTCTAACCATCACTTGTTAGTTGCAGCACTTGCCATTCACCTTTCTTAAATCTGATGTCTGAAACCTGTGTGTGTAAAATAATTTTGTCTTTCTTTAAATTTTGCCTTTTCTGGACATCCATTCTGTTAATTCTGAAGCACTTCACAGTGACCGAACTGGCTACCATCCAGCCAACAACTTGCTGGAAGTGCTGAAGTTTCTCTTCTCACAAATCTGATGCTGCTGAAGCTGTTCACAAAATCACAACTCCGTCTGGATTGCCGTGGGCTGTTTTCAGATAGTCTTGGACTCCTAATGTAATTCTAGATAAACAGAGAGCAATCAAGCAAAACTTTGTGAGGAAGCTTCTTCTCACACAGCACGCTTCTGAAAATGAGATTAGCAGGAGGAGTGTTGCTGTTGACTCTCTGAAGTCAGGCAGCCCCTTCTCAAAAAGCCAATGAAACCATTACCGCACCATTTCTTTCTGGCCTCAGACCAAATATGATCTCATCCAGCTCTGTGCTTTGCAGGGGCTCGTTAAATCTAAGCCTGAGCACGGCAGGTTTAATTCTTCAGCTTCTCTGGGTGCTTAAGATGCTTGTGGCACAGCCTGGTACTTCTGTGACAGCTTTCTCTGCTGGGGGAACTTTGAGCAGAGAGGCTGCATGTGCATTTCATTGTACCACAGGGTTAGAATTAAAACATCTGCAGTGCTGGAGAAAGATTGGTGTCTGAACTGGTTCTGGAGGTTTTGTGCAGATTTTGGTGCAGATTCCCTACTCATCAACACAAGGCACTGGAACAGGCTGTCCAGAGAGGTTGTGGAAGCCGTGTCCCTGGAGGTGTTCAAGGCCAGATTAGATGGGGCCCTGGGCAGCCTGGTCTGGTATTAATTGTAGAGGTTGGAGGCCCTGCGTGTGGCAGAGGGTTGGAGATTCATGAACCTCGAGGGCCCTTCCAACCCTGGCCATTCTGTGATTCTGTGATGCCTGGTGGGGCTTTGGGCATCCTGATCTGGTGGGAGGTGTCCCTGCCTATGACAGGGAGTTGGAGTTGAATGGCATTTAAAGTCCTTTCCCACTCTTCCCTGACACAACTCCATGCCATTCTCTGTTGTTGTTACCTGAAAACACCTCACTTCTAGGCTGTCATGAGGCCTCCCCTCAGCCTCCTCTTCTTCAGACTGAACAAACCAAGGGATCTCAGCTGCTTTTCATACACATTACCTTCTAGGACCTTCACCATTTCCGCAACTCTCCTTTGGATGCTCTCTAGTGGTTTTATATCCTTATATTGTGTCCCCAGACCTGTTCACGGTGAGGTGAGACCACACAAATGTAGCATAGCACAATCCCTTCCCTTGCTTTCCTTTCAGTTGTGTCTGCTGCATTTGATTTTAACATCTCTGGTTTTGATTTGACTTCAGCTTTTTAAGCTGCTTTCCAAAACAGCCTCAAGAAGCCTGTAGTAACAAGGCTGCCGCGTCTGCTCAGGAGGAAGAGCAGTGACATATTTTTTGAAGATGACATTGCAAAACAAATCCAAAACAAATGGCAAGAGATGTCCTTCCAGTGCCCAAGGCAGGGGAGCTGTGACTATTTAGGGTGCGATATCGCAGCATTCCCTGTTACCTTTCCCTGTTACCCAATGCTTTTCATGGTGAGAGGTTGCAATCCATCCCTGCACACAAACCCTGGCGTTGCTTTCTGCACTGTGGGTAATGCACAGCTGATTGGCCACTTGCACTGAATTATGGATTAGCTTGGCCTTGGAGAAAACAAATATGTCTAGGAAGATCAACAGCAGCAGTAAAATTAATGAGGAAGAGGGGAAATAAAGCACTAGTATCGTTCAAAAAGAAAAAAAAGAACAGCAACACAGATACAATAGTAGAGTTCTTCAGGTAGGACTGAATTAACCTTTGGTTAGCAGGTTATCTAATTAAACTGAATTAACTAAGGAGAAATAAATTAAGAGTTTAGTTAAAGTGATTCACCTTGTTCCATGTTATCAAACAAGTTTTACCACCGGTCAGGTTTTTATTATTGTCTCTGTGGGTCTCGTTTTATGATCTGATTATTGTACTGTGGAACCTGACATGGAAGCAAACTGAAATAATTGAGCAGGCAGCACAGAGTATGTCTGCTCCATGTATTAAAACAAATGATTCTAACCCAAGTGATAAAGAGAACATGAGCACATTATAACCAGTAAGAAAAATGAGCTGTAATGAGTATTAATCAGGTATAATGAGAATTAATATACTTTAAACATATAGTCAGAACCATCTCGCAAACGAGGAAAGCCTTTTCTTTGCTCATCTGCATGTAATCAGTAAGTCTGGAGGAGCTGTTAATATCCAGTTCAACTTGGGATGTTGAATTAGGAATATTCTTTAATCACTCCAAATTCAGAGTTAATCTAATGCTATATCTGTAAAAATGTGCACGTAAACTTGGCCATGCATAAAAATATCACAGAAGCCAAAGTATCTGCAACTGGGATCATCCCTTCTTTGTACACCAACACCAACCTCCTCATTCCCTCATGGTACTCTTCCAGTGCAAGGCTGATTAAAAAAAAAAAAACTAACATCAAACATCAAAATTGGTAATTAAGCATAAATTCCCCTAAAACATTTTCAAAGCCTTAATTTCAGTAGCTCATAAGATATGCTACAGTGCAGAGTCTTCTGCTAATCAGGTTCTAATAAACCATCCAGTTTAATTCCAACATAATGTATTTGGAAATGACAAATTAAATTGAAAAGCACCTCTGTAGATGCAGACTGTGTACACAGTACACTGTGACACTTGTCTTACTACCTTAATTCCTTGCTTGAAAAAGGAGCTTTGCCTTCCTCTTATCCTTAATGGAGTGCAGCTTTTCAGAGAGGATCTTTCCATTTTCTTCTTGAGTTTATGTGTGGTTTAGTGAGGATTGGACCAGTCTAGCAAGGAATCCAAATCTGTCAGCTCCTTACCAAAATCTTGTGCACCCAAATTCTTGTATAATTGAAGAGCAAGTCGTTATTTAACATTTTTCTCTGCTGAGATGGTAATAAGTACAACTGCCCCAAGCTTGTAGCACTGCATGGGGTTGTTGTGACCAAAGTGCAGGACCCAGCACTTGGTCTTGTTGAATCTCATATAACTGGCCTATCCAGATCACTGTGTAGGGCATTCCTACCTGCAGACAGATTTCCTCCCAACTTGGTGCCATCTGCAATCTTAATTAGACAATCTCAATCCCCTCATGCAGATCATCAATAAATATATTAAACAGGACCAGCCTCAGTACTGAACCCTCAGGATCACCACAAGTCACCAGGGTATGGAAGAAAGGGCAGAGCATGTATTCTGGCCCAAAGTCTTCCACAGCTTTGGTAGAGCTGTGATGTGTTCTTCAGTTCTGTAATACAAGCCCTTCCTTACTAAGTGTGCAGTGTTCCTACTTTAAAACTTGCTGTTTTAAATCCTCCAGATTTGGGATATTTTAGTTATAAAGGGATAAATAAGCCTCTTTAAGTCAGCGGCTGCTTAGAAGACTTCGACATTTCTGGATTAAATAAATTCTGGACCACATATTAAAAAAGAGGGAAAAGAAATCTGATTACCTTTCTGGTTTTCATTTGGTACTGCAAGAGAAATAAATAAGATGTGGTCAGTGTGAGAGAGCCCATTCTGCAGGTGCTCTGTGGAGGATAGCAATGTTTTTCCTGAGTGAAATGCATTCAGTGGAGACATTCATGCCCCAAGGCCTACATTTATTGCTCGAAGAATACAGACAATATTTTAGGGATGTCATTATTTACAGGATCAATATTGCTATTTAGCCAGACAGCTGCGAGGTGTGGGCAAATACCATCTGTTCTAATACATTTCTCTGTCTATCGATCTCTCTCTGTGTGCGTTTTGCTGATCAAATAGAGAAAGCAGGAACAGG